ATTAAAATATCACTTTTCTTTCTTTGCGCGCTACTTTCAATCGGAAAATTTTTATTTGACAATCTTAATCTTATTTATCCTATAGATCTTCGAGGACGTCCAAATGATATCCATAAGACATCTTATATCCTAAGGATATTCCCATTTCTCGGATAAGATGTAATATTTTTTTTATTTTCAGGTACTCACTTCGCTATTTATCAGATTAAACTTGAACTAATAAAGATCCTACAAAACTATAATTAAACCTTGCGAGAAAATGGAATACCTTACGTCCGCAATGAGGAAACATTTATATTAACACCAAAAAATGGAATACACTTGACAATAATTAAAATAAATCGAACTTAAGTTTTTCTTTAATTTTCTTAAAGAATATGTATAAAAAAATCTATTAAAATTGAAAAAAAATCTATCAAAAATTGTATTAAAAAATTGTAAAAATAAAATATAAACATAAATTATAATAGGAGCCACTATTCCAACTAAAATATTTGTTAATCTTATTATAATATTTGTTAATCTTATTAATATGTTGAATAATAAAAATCGATATTAATCAGTTAATAATTAGAGATTGTTTAAATTTTGTTTAAATTTATATTTGTTGTTGTATGCGTAAATTAATACATAATCTTTTTAATTCCTTTTTTCAGCATTTTTTCTTAAGACGATCTATAATTCATTACCAAATTCGAAACAGAATTCTACGCAATATATAATATTGCATATCGTAACATAAAAAACATTTGAATAAGTAAAATACAGACATATAGAAAATATGTATCAATGATACATATAATTTACAGTAGATTATAGTTCATACAGTAAATTTTATATACTTTTAAAAATAATAATAATAATAATACTTCACTCGCGCATTAATTTATAAGACACTGATTAAAAACCATTGTTCTACAATTTTTAGTTTGATTAAATGCATTTGCTTTCTCACATGTTTCACTTTTATCTTTTTTACAAAATTAATAAAAATATATCGATTTAACAATTGAAAATAAGTGTTTTGTACAAGATGTTATTAAATGATTATATTCTTTAAATTTTAATAAACCCTTTCTCATTCGTCACATAACTATAGAATATAAAAAGCGATGAAGTAGTACATTTTGGATGGCTTTTTATATTTATTATCTACATTCTACATATTTATTTTTAATATATTTTATATATGCTATCTACTATCGTTTTATTATCTATTAGATTTTTTTCTTAATTTTTATATCAATTACAATAGGTGAGTCAATAAATAATCTTAGAAAATTAAAATATATATTGACTCATCCACATATTTATGTCATCGCATAATTACATTATAATGTTATCGCATAATTACATAGTCATTTTCTTTTGAATTTTCCAAAACGTCAGACTTAAGCATATTGTCTCTCAATTGTGGTGACATTGGAACATAATTGGAAGAATCTGTGAGAGTATTTTTTTGCGTACATATTGTATTTTGCAGCCTTGATTTAAAATGATTAGAAATTTCTTGATGACAATACTGATCTGTATCCATCCTGTTTTAAAAAAAACCGAATTCATATTTTTAAACTGTTCTAATTTTATATTTAATACTTTTCTCAGGAGATAATTGTAATTAAATAAAATAAAACAATCTTACCTATCTTCTTCTGTATATTCTGGCCTATGCTTCTGTCGTGGTGGTAATGCTGGAGGTTCCATTTGCAAATTGCATGAAATTTTATCTGTATTCTTATATTCATTGGACAATGACATTTTAGGAGAACAAATATTATCCATAATTTCTTCATAAATTCCAGAAGCAATAGAGGTATTGGATTTTCTATGGTTACAGGAATGAAGTTTTTCACTGTACATTAGATTAGGTTCCGAGTGGTACATATTCTTCGCAACTTTAGTGCTGATCGATGTTCTTAAACTGTTTTTCAAATTTAATATGCATTATTACATTAATATTGTTATTTAATTTTCTATATACAGAATGACAAAAAATTTTAGTCACAAAGTTTTGCGTGTTTATTAAATTATTCAGATAACAAATTGACGTTATTTATCATCATTTTCATCAGTGTGCAATCTAGATATAATGTATAAATATCAAAGAGAGAATTCTACATCAAAAGAATTTAATCAATTAATGGACTAAAGAATGCTCTGTTGACTGTCTGGGAGAATTTATTGGTGGAAAGATATTCCATCCAAAGATACCATCATTGATGCGTTCCCAAAGCACTTTAAAGCTTGTTTCCAAATTAAAAGTAGTCATTTTATATTATTTTTAATATTTAATAAAATATAATTAACACTCTTAAAGTTTATTGTAAATACAATTATTATTAACTTGATAAACACAAAACTTTCTGGTTACTTTTGTTGTCATCCTGTTTAATGATACACACCAATTAGTGTCAGTATTAAGCATACAAAGAGGTGCATCACTCTTTAATGGTGAAGAAAGACTGATTTCATTGTGTTTCCTTGTTTCAAGATTCACACTATCAGAATATAAAAATTTTTGTCGATGTTTCGGACCACGACCCTGTGTTACCAAGTCTTGAAGTAATTTATTAGCGTCAAGACAAAATATGTAGAGTTCTCCAATGCCACAGCAAAACTCTTTGCTAGTATGTATTACACAAATACGCTTCACATCTTCTGGACGACCTGCTGTCATTAAATGGAATTGAGTGAATTCTTTCCATTTAAAAGTTTTAGTTATCTCGCCTGTGTGAACATTTCTAATGAAAATTCCTGTTTGATTGGCGATCAAATCTCCATATAAACCTGCCAAACAATAAAAATCACATTGATATTCATAGATTTACTAAATTGAGAACATATATTCAATGACATATATATCTAGATCAAACATATAAATGTTTTCCTAAAAAACGTAAAATTGACATATTGAAAAAGTACTGTTTTTATATTTTTCCCTTTTATTTCTTCAAGTATCAGAGTTGATTGAAAAAAAGAAAGTATATGTTGTATACAGTTTTTTCCTTTTAATTAACATCGATTACTTAAAGAAAAAGAGATTATACATAATGATAGAAAGAAGTCTACATAATTAATTGTTCTCATTGTATAACTTCTCTATCAACCAATTAGTTTCACCAGAAGTTAAAAGCTTGATTTAATTGTATGTATTGATACTTTTCAGCAAGAGACAGTGTAAAACACAATGATCATTTCACACTTTATTTAACAAACGAAAATGTAATAATTCACTGTGTTATACCATACATGTTTCTTATTGAAAAACACTCTTAAGCTTGATTTTGCCAATGTAAGATTGACTTTAATCTCGGTTCAATTTATTCTTTATCTTTTCCTAATTTTAAGAATTAGAAAAACATAAAAAATAAGTTAATTAAGATTGAAGTTAATCTCATATTAGTGAAACTGGGTCTATATCGTTGGCTAGCTCCAACTAACAATTATACCAACCAATTAAACCCGCTGCCTTTGAATGTGCATTATCAACCATGGATACATCATATGATCTTTCAATGCAACAGTGCCTTCTGGGTTTCAACAAATGTCTGATATTCGCCATCCAATGCTGTGTTTCAGTCTCCGAATTAGCGGATAATGATAACAGAGGCTTCCTATCCACTGCCGATGATATACTGAATGCGAATTGCTTCGTTCTGGACAGAATACGATGTATGATGGCATTCGGTGGTATCACAACTGAGCTGTCCTTCTCGTTTTGCTTCAAAGCATTGTCGTGATAGAGTTTCTGATCAAACTGCACTTGCAAGCCGAGACCGGGTTTCAACTTCCTTATTGAGCACCATAAACGTTTCCATACCTTCGATAGAACCAAAGCTCTTTTCCTCACTCTTTGCGCGATCTTTGCGTTATATCTTTTTCTCGTAGATTTAACGTAGAGAAATCCATAAATTTCCGTGTCTTGCATACTCATTCTCTAAACAGACACGTCAAATTGGTACAGGGAGCTTCGAACAGATGTTTTAAACAAGGACACCTTAAAGAGGATATTAAGAAGACTTCGTGCACTATAAATTTTGATAAAAATATACCAAATCGATGTTTTCCTATAAAAAAAATTAATTTGATAAGAAAATAGGCTAATTATTGAGATTTATTTATTATTTATTTATTTATTATTTTTTACCTCCGATATTAATAAAATCAGACTGATTCAATGCGATTCTGCATGAAATGAACGAATCTGGCAGAAAAGTGTCACTCTGCTCCGTTAAGGCGAATCAAGACATTAATTGTTAGGACTGACAGATATTAGGAATCTATCAGGAAAGCTATCACATCAAATGCATTGGGTGCATTCAAAACAACACTGAGCGGTCGTGTCGTAGTTCTGAGTTCTGACTTCGGGCTGAGAGCCCGAGCACAAGAATTGTCGTAACACTTACCTAGACTACGTTCCAAAACTTCCTCTCCGAGGAAAATTTTACTCGAAATATATAATACACGTAACGTATACTATAGCATATAGAATAAAATCTTCGGAGAAAAAGTTTTGGAACGTAGCCTTAGAGACTTAAGTAGACATAAGTAATGCACAAGCTTTGGCGTATGACATACGATTTATTGTCTCTTGGAGGCACGACAATAAGTTGTATGTCATAAGGTGACATACAACTTGCTTCTGTTACTTACGTCTACATTTAAGTCTAAGGTCAGGTTGACCTTGACGGAAAAGCAGAAAACAGAAAAGCAGAAGCTAATCAGAACTCGCGAAAAGATAGAAGCAGATAAGCGAAATGTACCGCTTACTATTGGCGAATTCCGATTGGCTTCCGCTTTTCCATCAAGGTGTGAACTCGGCCTAAGTAAATGTTACAATTCTCAGATTCTTCCGAATGCACTCATTCGATATTTTAGAATCTAACGGATTATGCCAATCAGATGAAAGTAAAAATCTAGATAGTAGATACCAAAGTAGCGCATCCTCCATTTTGTGGACCTACTAACCATATACTAATAATATGCATTTATTGGATTACAGGCAACTAAATCGAAATGACAAACGAAATAGCTAGGAAAACTAACTCTTCAGATAAAAGGATGCGTTACTTTAGTATCTAGGGGATCGATTCTGTATCTTGAAATGAGATGAAAATTATAAAAGTGAGCGAATTTACTAGAATACTGTTTATTTCATTGATCAATACCTAGTAAATTTGCTCGCTTTTGTAATTTTCACCTTGTTTGAAGATACAGAATCGACCCCCATAGTTTTATCTGCGCATTAGGCTGGAATCAGACTATGCATTGAAGATTGGCTGCGTTCAGCAGACTCAACAGTTAAGTGAGTGCTCGCTGCTATTAATATATTCTTCTAAGATTTAAAATCTGGTTGGACGATTTAAAAGAATACACCAATAACAGCAAGCGTTTAAATAAGCTAAATAAGCCATTGAAATTGAAGATTCAAAATTGAAATTTCATCAATAAAGACAAAGAAATTTTGGCTCCTTTTGTTCTGATTGGTCAAATTTAAATCTTTCATTTTCAATCTCATTCATCAATGTATAGTCTGATTCCGGCCTTAAGCAGTGTGAAAAGGGGTTATTTTTTCCTTTTCAAATATTTATTTTTACGTGAAAACACATCAATTGAGTGTAATTTTATCGAAATTTAAGTGAAACCGATTATATTAAGTATTTATTTATAAATAAAGCAGTAAAAATGTTTATCGTAGAGAAGGAAATGTTACAAATCATTCAGAATAGAGTGACAAGAAATTGTCGCGCTTTGTAATAATCAACTTATGTTAATATACAACTTTTGCTTAATATGACACGCATAAAAATGCGTAATGTTATGTTGAATTCATTGTACATCGAAATCATCCGTGCCGTTCGCAATACAAAACTTTTCAAACATCAAAGGTTAAATCATAAGATAAGAATCTTGATTTTAAAGAAAAAAAACTCTATTTAACTAGTTACATTCAATTAGTTTTACAGAAACCTTCAATTAGTTTTATACCTTGTTCTAGAGAATGGACGTTTTCATCAAGCAGGTATTTCTCCACACAAGCGACAACCGATGCAGAATACAATGTACCAGTTGAAGCCATTCGTAACTTTAGTATAGTTGCACATGTCGACCACGGTAAAAGTACATTAGCAGACAGATTACTGGAATTAACAGGTGCTATAAAGGTAAATTCTGGCAAGCAGATTCTGGATAATCTGCAAGTGGAGAAAGAACGTGGGATCACAGTGAAAGCGCAGACGGCGTCACTGTTTTATTCATATCAAGGCAAAAAGTATCTTCTGAATCTCATCGATACGCCAGGACATGTGGATTTTTCAGCAGAGGTTCATCGATCACTGGCTCCTTGTCAAGGGGTTATATTACTAGTCGATGCTAATGATGGTGTTCAAGCACAAACGGTAGCCAATTATTATTTAGCGCGAGAAAAGAATCTTATAATAATTCCAGTAATTAATAAAGTGGACTTGAAGAATGCCAATCCCGAGAAGGTCAAGGAGCAGTTGCAAATATTACTTGATGTAGATCATGTAGATGTTATAAAGATATCTGCCAAGTTGGGCACTGGTATCGATAAAGTTCTAGATGCTATAATTGAAAGAATTCCACCACCTACGGTAGCTAGAGATAAGCCTTTTCGAGCATTGATATTTGATAGTTGGTATGACAAGTATAAAGGGACGATTTCTTTAATTTATGTGAAAGATGGAGCATTATCAGTTGGCAAACAAATTAGTTCTGCATATATGAAAAAATCATATGAAGTTCGAAATATTTTTCTTCTCAGACCTTACACAGAAAATGTGAAGACAATGTGAGTGAGTATAATTTATTATATAAACTAATTATTCTTTATTATAAATTGGAGAGTGTTTGATAGGTCAGAGAAAATTTTAGAAATAATTCTAAATAATAAAATAGATGAAAATTTCAAGAATAACAAAATTGAGATAATGGTTTAATTTTTTTATATAAATTCTAAATGTTTAAATATTTATGTAAAGATTAAATATTTATGTCTAACATGCACATGAATATTTAAATATTTATAAAAAATTGTGTGTGTGTGTGTGTGTGTGTGTGTGTGTGTGTGTGTGTGTGTGTGTGTGTGTGT